ATTCAACATCAGAGCCAACGCGTTTCACTTTTCCCTCATTCCTCCCAACATTGCATGGCAAGACCATTCTGTCGAGTGATCAAAGGGGAAGGTTTTCATGTCAAAATTGTGTGAGTGAACACGACTGGACTCAGGATGGTGGAACATGGCCCCAAAAGTGAACTATACTGCCAAATACAGGACAATTGGAGGGATACACTTTCATTTCTTTCTAGTGCACCTCCTTTCTAGGTACTTTAAAATAGTTCATGTCATTGAGTATTCGTATATTCTACAGCAAAAAAACTACAGTATTGTGAATAAAAACAATCACACATTTTATCTTCTTACTTATGAATTACTCAATAAATAACACAATTACAATTAATCAATAAAACACACTTTTCATTGGATACCTCACATCTTTGACATGCTCACAGTCACACTCTCTATAAATAGTATCCCTCTTTTACTTCTGTGCATTCAACACACATTTCAAAGTTCTTGCACACACAGTTTACAATGCTCCTGTGCATCACCTGTCCTTTGTGTGCAGATAACTAGCAAGTTACTATGTTCCACTTCATGTAGCTTATAAGCCAAATATTTATGTGGATGCAACTGCCATATCTGGTAATTTCAATGAAGAAACTGGTCAAGAAAAAGGTTAAAGCATACAAATTTGAGTATAAGTGTCCTCTACCTCATGTAAAACAATGCATTTTAAAAATGACCTGTCTAACTCAAAGTGCATGTATATTATTATTTTATTATTTATATAGCGCCAGCAAATTCCGTAGCGCTGTACAGTGGGATGGCTAAATGAACCTGTTCCATACTAAAGCTAGGTATGTACATGTACTTCATTTTAGAAAATCTATTTCCTTTCAAAACGTGAAAGGATTATTATACTAAAAATTTGTTTTAAGGTGACTATTGTCCTTTAATTATTGCAAGTGAATTTATGATTATAACCATAAACAGAGGCCATTTATTGAGGCCTCAAATTTTGGATACTCCAAATACTAGTAGTTACTAGCTGGTTATGTTTAGATACTCCGCTAATAATGGAATCCTAATAAGGTGGGAAAACTTAAGTATTCATAGGAAAAATGAGACCCACTAATTTTCAATTTTCAATAAATCTTTTTAAAAGGATAGGGGCATGGTACAGTAATGATCAGAAAACTACTACCCAGCATTGTATGTGGTTGCTAGAGAACAATTTACAAGTATCATTCAAGAAGCACCAAGCCCTTCTAATTCAAGATAATAAGATAATGCAGCATTGTTTAACCAGTTCCATTTCTGGATTCTGAATTGAGCTCTTTGATAATGCTTTCTGTAGAAGTCAGCAACTATACAAAAAAGAAAAATATACACCCACTATATATATGTATGTATATGATAAATCATTATATTGATCTCCTTTTGTTAAACACACAACATTAACTTTGTGTGTGTGTGTGTGTGTGTGTGTGTGTGTGTATATATATAAATAAACAAAAGGAGATCAACATGATTTATATTTTAACCCCTTATGGTTTTCTTCTCCCTGTATGCCCAGGAATCATCCACCATCCCCGAGAACTCAACAAATCCTAAGCTGTTAAGTGTCAAACTAGGTGCAGACAACCTTCGGCACTGCATATGTTTTGGACTACACCTCCCATGAAGCTTTGCCAGTATTATGTGTGTAAGAGCATTATGGGGGATGTAGTCCACAACACCTGGAGTGTCGAAATTTGCCTATCCCTGAGCTAGGGGATGGGGCCGGAGCACTCTAGAAAAAAAATAAGCAATACTAAGAGCTGCACGTAATAGCACTACCTTGTAAAATAAAATGCAAAAGAATGACAATATTTTCCAACTAAAAGTACATCGTAACAATACAGTAGTTCAATTGGTTTACATTCAAATAAACAGGTAAGCAAAACAATAACATATAATCGTGCTCGGTACAAACTACTTTCAACAGATGCTCCACTATCAATGAGATCATCAACCATAATAATCTCTGGTCCAATCCAATGCTTCTCAAAGATAAGGATTCCGAATCTACAGCGCATGCACGGCAATCACTGTGCTCTGCCAATCCAACGCTTCTCATGTTTGGTTTCATCATGCTGGGAGTCATGACACTAAATGTGTCAACCATTGGAAATCAAGGGTCTTCAGGAGGGGTGGCTCTTATGAGTCCCTGTCTAACAGCTACCGCTCTCAGATATAAAATAAAAAATGGTTTTACAAAATGTTAACCCTTTGAATGCATTTACATGAAAAGTGCACCAAACCTTAAAGTGCCACTATAGCCACCAAAATAAACTTCAGTTGAATTAAGCAGTGTTGGTGTATAGATCATGTTCCTGAAGTTTCGCTGCTCATTACACTACCATTTAGGAGTTAAATCACTTTGTTTATGCAGCCCTAGTCACACCTCCCTGTATGTGACTTGCATAGCCTTCCTAAACACTTCCTGTAAAGTAAAAAAGTATCGGTTTAAACTTTATTACACATTTGGTTTAATCTATATTTCCTTACATCTTGCACAGTTAATATCTTGCTAGGCCTTGCAGGAGCCTCCTATTTTGATTAAAGTTTACTCTGTAAATTAAATTAAAGTTTAATTTACAAAGTAGGATATAAAAATGTCTAATGTAAGTTAACATCTTATTGAAAATGAAAATGTCTTTTCATGCATACTGTATGAGGATGGGGCTAGGGCTGCATGAACAGAAACAAAGGTAATTTAAGTCCTAAATGACAGAGAATTGAGACTTCAGATGCACGATCTATACACATTATGCTAAAGTTGTTTTGGCGACTATACTGTCTCTTTCAACTATTTCGTGTTGTGTGATTACCCTGAAATTACAGGGTTAAAAACAATGTGTTTTGGGGTTATTACTGTGTAAAAAGAGACCAGTGAATGATTGGAGAACTCCCACTAGTAATAAAAGTGTAATGATTTGTCTCATTGTCACTACATACAGCAAATAAAGGCCCTTTCCTGGAAAATCAATAATATTTCCTAATGCACGTTGTTCTCCCCTCTTCGTTACAGCCAGACCTGACAACTTCAAATTGTGTCCACATGAGAGTTCAGCAGAAAGCCTGAGAGGTGAGAACAGTCTGCATTTGATTAACATTAGAGCTTTTGCATTAATACATGCAAATTCCCAAATACATCAAAACATAAATCATATAAAAACTTGCTTTCTGTTCATTTTTATCTGCCTAAATCGTACAGTCAGTGAGTAAACTATGTATTTAGCACCAAGGATGAAATTGTCTATAGGCACTTCCGCTTTCCCCAGGTTTGTGTATCCCTTTACTCCATGACCCAATTTAGTGTCTCCACTGAGCCCGTGATCCCTTTGTGTGGTTTCCCTTATCAGTATTGTTGCTTTGTTCCCATCCCCTCATTCCCTCTCAGTACCAAGCCACTTACCTGGTCCTGGACTATAGCATGGAACCCATGGAGCTGGCCCTGCATGTTCCTTTGCCCAGTCTGACAGTTCAGCTCCATGCTTTCGAGTAAGCAACATGCTTGGTAAGTGGAGAGAGGGTGGGAGCTGCACATTCACACTAAGTCTACAGCTGCTCTGACAGACCAGAGTACCATGATCATGTCAGTGTTTTGCAGTGGTCACAGTGCTTGGAGACTGTATACATACAAAGATATCTTACATTTCTAGTAGAGGCGTAAATCCACCTTTGGCAGGGTTGTTATGGTGTCTTTAGCCAGTTCCGAACAAGAGTTCCAGGGTGGCTAATGAAAATTCTGAGCATATTTCTTTGAAGACACATTCAGCTTACACTCTTAGTCAATGAATAAGTGTCACGTTTGGCATCTGCCTTCTGTAGCTCTTCATCAAAAATGTACCAGGACAACCTAAATTAAACTAAAGTACTCATAAAGATTTGGGCAGGCGTTAGGGTTTGCCTTACATACATTACACATGGTTTAGGATTGGATAGAAGGTTGGGATTTGAGATGGACTACACAAATAATAAACTTCATTCCTTTTTTTCTTCTGTGTTCTCCATTTAACACACCAGTTTTATCTGTGACTGTTTATTTGTTTCATTTGTATACATTTAGCCTGCTGGAAAACTAAGCAGGTGGCACATAGTTTCTGAAAAATACTCTTTGACTTGAAGATGGAAACCCAAAGAAAGCATTTTATAAAACCATCAGTAATATGAACAATGTCTAATAAAAGCTATTAGATATTGCTACAAACAAACATACTGCTGTTCAAGTACCAGAAGCCATTTTTCAGGTTACAGTTTTGTCTCTGGTGGTTCTCTTGCAGCAGGTGTAGAGGACCTTCATGAAATAACCTTGTCTTTTTGCTCCAAATCCAAGTGCTCCAAATCCACCGCAGATATAAAGTTAAAATGGGTAGTGAAATGGAGATCGGTGCACAGTATGCGAGCGGTAAAATAACTGGGTGAATATCAATCACTGTGCTAGATGAATATATAGGCAGAGAACAGCAGAATATATATGCAGGTCTGAGCAGAATGTTATATTACATAGATACACTAACAGGGTTTTTCACAAAGTACCAAATACTAGCCAATTAAAACTAAAGGGAAAATTGAGGCTAAAATAGCTCATTTTAGATTAGACAATTTTACCTTAAATTTTGCCAGAGTTCATTTGTAAAAATTCAGTGTATAAATAACAAAAATGGAAATATATCCGTGTTCACATATGCTGCTCTTTAAAGTGTTACTCAAAGCACCATAACCACTTCAGTGATTTTCAGTAGTCATGGTGCAGTAGTTTGCTAAGAAACCCCGCAGTTTAACTGCTTTGCTGCCCAAGATATAATTCCACCTGTGGCAGAGTCTTCTATCAGACAGCCACTAGAGGGACTTCCGTGTTCTTAGAACATGAAAAGTGTTTTAAACGACGCTGGATGTCCTCACGCTATGCATGAGGACCTCCAGCGTCGAAGGAATCCCCATAGGAAAGCATTGAATAATGCGGCTCGCCGCGGAGCTCCGGTCAGCTGACACATCCCGGCCAATCTCCAGGAGACCCTCCCTCCAAGACCCTCCCACCTCCTGGACAGCATCCATGTTGAAGGCAGCTTCAACATGGATGCTGTCCAGGAGGTGGGAAGGTCTGAAAGGGAGGGTCTGCTGGAGATTGGCCGGGATGTGTCAGCTGACCGGAGCTCGCCACGAGCCATTCGCGGGAAGTTTGCAAACGGTTCGCGACATCTCTACTGATGAATAGTGGTTTATATAGGCAGTAATTAATTATTCAAATTTTTACGCCAAAATGACGTCACATTATAGGACACATAAACCACAAAATAAATTACAAAATAAGATAATAGCAGTATTAAAATGATATGTAGGTTAGACAAAGTATAAGTACATAATTGATTTATTAAAACGAAGGTTGTATGTATATTGGATTTATTATATTACATCATTTGTTTTTGTTGTGGCGCGACCTATAATTTTTGTTTTTAGACTGTAGGGTCCTGCAGTGCCAGGAAAACAGATATGTTTTCCTGGCACTGGAGAGTCCCTTTAACAAGCTTAGAAAAAAGAAAACAAAATTATTTAAATTTGAAAATGTCAAGAAACTGACAAATCCGCAGTGGTTACACCTTATTTCTCGTCTTTGTTACTTTTTATCTCTGTGATGCGCCAGCTGCTAGAGTAGTATCTCATTTCAATGCTGAATTTTTATATGCAGTCTAGCTACAGACTTTACTAAAATATTTTTCAGAAATCCCAATCTGATAATTTTGACACTGCAGTAACTGTATTTATCTAGATGTAATATGAGTAAACACTAAACTATTTAATAATCATGGCCTAATCTAAACTGTGTCCAGATGAGGTTATGGGTATCAAATAATAAGACATGTTACGTAGTCAAACCATTTGTGGCAGTGCAGGGAGGTCCAACTATTCACACCTGGTTTGGCTACTGTAAATTGTTGGGCGCCAGGCACTCTTGGCACCATAACCAATTCAGCAGGCTGCAGTGATTATTTTGCCTCTAGTGTTCCTTTAACAAGTGGGATATTTATAGTGCACTCTACCAGTCCAAATGTTAACTAAACCTTAAACCACGTAAACACATTTCCTACACCGATCTACCTTACACAAACATGGCTTTCTTTTAATTGTGATGTTATTTAAATACAGGTTTTGTATACTTAACGTTTTGCTTTTAATGCACCGTATAATTCACATTTTCTATTCTTGTTTGGTGGCAGTAATAAAAGTATTTTAGTCTTCCATGCGGACATACATGAACTGCCAACCTATAATCAGCCCTGAATTAGAGCCCTGCAAATAGCTTCACAACAGTTAAGCCTTTGGAACCAGAGTTGTATGTAAACCATGGTTTAAAACATTTTCACTAGAATTAGAAAATGGGTATAGTTTATATATTTTTTTTGTCACACAGAGATGAACAGGGCTGTTGCGGCTTTATCTTGCACTCAAATTACCAAATAATTATTTAAATCGACACTCATGCCTAGAGATTGGCCCATTTTTTTTGTTTGACAAATTGATACTCAAAGCACAGGTTATCCAAGGAGCTTCCCAATTTGCAAATTTGCTCCTAGATCCCCAAAACTCATTTACATTACAAAATAAACGTGTTTCCACCTATGAGGAAAATTCACAAGCTCCTACACAACGGCATCCGTACTGCAGTACCTTCAGCGGGTTATCTGCCGCTTCCTCCTGTCAGCTCAGGAGTTGGGCATTGGGCTCAGCAGCAACATTTGAGTTGATCGTTTCTGCTCTCCCTTGTCAGTCAATGCTATGGAATGTTGAGGTATTGACTAACAGCTGGGAGAAAAGCCTATTGTTAAATAGTTTTTTTCTCCAGATCTATACATTTGGTATACATCTGCTCAATCTAATAGTCATAGGTTGTTTGAGGCATGACAGGTGCCCTTTAAGAATGTAATTTCAGAAAGCTTCCTCTACTGAGAATAAATACAATATAGGTTCTTTCTTTAGCTTCCAAAATGATACAAACATTTTTTAGGATGCAAAAGGTTTCATTTTTAAAAATTACAACATACAATTGGCCTTGTTATATTGTTGCACATAAGCATGGAATTGTCAGAATAAGCTGTGGCTTTCTATTGATAAAACTGAGAACGGTCAATCCAAAAGGTTACACAATGCCTTCCTGAAGAAGTATTCTTAGAATGAAGTCTACATTTCTACAAATAAGGGATAATAAGTAAATCCCATGAGAGGTATCATTACAAGCATAGAAAGCAACCTTTGTAACAAAATAAATCATCAATAAATTGTTAATGTGTTTACCAATATTGACTGAAGCTAATTCAGGTTTAAAAAATAAATTAAAAAAATGAATTAATGTTAAAAAAAACACAACACAATTTTCTGAGCTAAAATAATTTAATTCTCAAGTCTGACTATAGGTTAAAATGGAGCAGCAAGACTTGAGGTCTAACCCTTCTTTCCTTGTTTGGAGGAGTTCTGGAATGGGGGCCTAGCACAAAGCAGAAGACGGAATTTCAATTTTTACTGCTACTCGGCCAGAGCACCTGCTAGCATAGATCATTCCCGAGCATACCCAGCACAAAGAAAACACAAGTATGTACCACCCCCTGTGCTCCTAATCAACCTTTTGGAGAAGCATATTAATCAATATTTTAGCAAAAATAAGCCTTAAAAAAAGTGGTGGTCACCATTTTGTTTCTGCACCTATGTTTGCAGTTTGTTACTTCCTATGGCCATTATTTGTGTGGAGTTAGTGTGATTGTTGGAATCTATGTACTCTATGTGCAGGTCAGCAGTACTCCTCTTAAAGAACATACAATACACTTAATTCCTCCTTCCCTATACTGAACTGTACACTGTAGTACAAGAGACACTGATGGATTTGACTACATCCACTGGCTTCAGTGATACCGCTTTGGTAAACAATGCAGGACCTCCATCGTCCACCACTTCAGATGCCTCGCAATATGATGCTTCTCTGGTACAAATAAGCACAGACCTTGATAGCAATAGTCACAACATAAGCTGACCTCACAGCTCTCACCGTGGACATTCACAAGACCATATAGTTAGTCAGAGATTTCAGACCTAGAGCTTGCAGGCTCTAGACACTACAGTACAGCAGTCTACACATCAACATGAGGCTTACGAAAATGGCCATCACGAGACAGGGCAACATGCTTTGCCCTTTGCAAGCAAGTTGAAGATTTGGGCAACTGAGGGAGAAGGTGCATCTTCAAAGTGAATAGAATGCTAGAGACTCAGGAGAAGAAGAAAGCTGAGGATATTCTAAGGGACTAATTCAGTATGATCCTGAAGTGTGAATCCTCCCATGAACTACGCTTTGAAAGCGCCCACACGGCCTTGAGACTCCTCTGTACCAAAGGCAACCCACGGGATATCATGACAAAGTTATTAAAGCTTACTTACTCTATTGTATTGTTGAATAATGTGCATATTAAATAGAGCTTCAGCAAGAACCTTGGCATAATCCTCAACTGCATAGAGAGCCTGACCTAAATAAAAATGGTCTATATCTGCCTTTACCTTGATTGCTAAGCGCTCTCAATATATCTCTGTTTTGGGCAGTTATATTACTTGGACACTACAGTTTATCACAAATTATAAAATAAATAAATAAAAAATACAAAGGTGGAAAGTCCACATTTATCCGATGCATATCTCAATCCAGATGTGGCTTTAAATGCAAGCCACAAAAACCGCTTCTTAAACCCTGAAAGACACATGACGGAAATATTCCATCATGATTCCCTTTTATTCCAGAAGTTGTGTCCTTAAGAGGTTAAATGAACTCTCTAATCACTCTAACCCTTTAGAGCCTGCATTAGCTTTCAGATAAAATCTCATTTAAGGAAATCTGCATGCTTTTCAGTCCCACAATAGTATGAGCACAATGTATGGATCTTTCATTAAGCAAATCTGAATTTGGCAGATAACACCAGTCTTCAGGGTGAAACTAGTCCTAAAAAAAAAATCTGAACCCTGCACTGCCGCATGTACATTCAGCAAGAGGAGTTCACAAGCACTCCTCGATGTGAATAGACTGGAGAAAGCAAAGGAAAGTAATTGCTAATTTAATAGGCGTACGGCAACATAATTTCTAGCCAATGGACTCACCATTACTTGGTAAATTCAATACAATCACATTAACAGGAGAATAAACTGAACAGAAATGAACAATGTAGTTAAATTTACAGGACAATAAAGTGCACATAACATTGGAGCAATATAAATAATTACATAAACTACAATTTAAACTGTTAGGGTGTTGTAGATATACATAAGCAGAAAGAGAGAGCATTCTAATATAGCACCGTTCAAAAAGAGAGGAGAGAGAGAGAGAGAGAGAGAGAGAGGTGGGTAGGTGAGTTGAATGCAAAACTGGCAAATATCAAAAATTAAAGTTTTTAAAAAAAATCATGCCATTTTCCACATTTGGCCAATTATTTAAAAATGACCAAAGTCTACCTACCACAGGTGCTAAATAAAGCACAACAGCACATGTTTAATTAAGGCCCAACCATTGGAAGCACAATCCAATAGTTTGCCCACACATGTACTATAGTGAAATTGTCCAGTGTTTTTAGTCACAGCTAGTTTTAGACAATTAAAATCACGCAGCTTGAATCTTCATTCATATATGGAATTTTTAATTTTTTTTTTAAGTTAAACTGTAGAATAATTCTGTAGTAACCATTATTTAAAACAGTAAGATATTAACTGCCATTTATATTTTTGGTTTGCTGTATGACTTCATAGACATTTACTGGATTAATGCTTCTTTAGCGGAGATGCAACATTGTGTAGGTCAGAGTAGCGTGCATAATGAGTTAACCCCCTCATGAATAATTGGCGACTGAATAAGTACCTATAGTCACATCAAAGATCATTTTATCTTAAAAAGATAGACCTGGCTGTTTTTTATTTCATTAATATAAACCTGAGCTGAGTAACTTATTTTATGCCATTTAATGGACTGTTCAAGAAACAAAAAGCAAATCTGGCAGATAACCCACAGTCTACTGGACGAAAGCATAAGAAGAAATGTAAAAGTCAGACATCTTTACGAGCTACATTGATTTTGTTCATGCTTATTTCCCCCCCCACTCTCTACTGATTCATAAAAATGGTACGAAA